CACGTCAGTAGAGCTAAATGTGATTAAAAGAGACATTTGAACCCTCCATAATGTGGGACAGACATGTTCATCTGCAGATCCTAGAGTTTTGTTTCAGGCTTACCAAGCAAACACAAGTAGGGTAACACCTTGAATAAATAAATGTCCTATTGTTTAGGAGAAAAGAAAATCTTTTGAATGTTTTGTGTTGATCGATCTATGGCTTATAGAGTTTTCCCCCACTTCACGATGTAGGCTTTGAAGTTTGAATGGAATCTGACCTTTAAGAGCCCAGAGTGCTTGACTAACTTACCAATGGCCATACAGCTTTCCAGTGGTGAGACTAGATTTGATTAGGTTTTTGTACTTTTCTCTTTTTTTTTTTGGTGACAGTAGGGGGCCCTAGTTTCTCCTTTAGCTTTTTCCTTTTAAGTCTGCTACTCTACCACTTGAGCCACACCCTCACCTCTAGCTTTCTGCTGAAATTCATTGGAAATAAGAGTCTCATGGACTTTTCCGCCTGGGCTGGCTTCAAACCTTGATCTGAGGACCTCAACCTCCTGAGCAGTTAGGATTATAGGCATGAGCAAGCAGTACCCCTTGATTAGGAGGCTCTTAATCCTTACCCAATGCTGTTTCCAGTAACGTGCTCTGCCAGAGTGAGTGACATGGCAAGGTGACAGCTTTCTCTCCCTTTCAGTAAGTAGGCAAGATAGTTTCTTTCTTGGCCTGGCTACCGATGATCAAATTAAAACAATGCTGGAAATTGGAGATAAGACAGGATTATGTGGTGAGCAAAGAATAAATCGTAATAAATCTCTTGTTCTTTTCAAGAGAGCTGAGACTGCTTTTCTCCACAGTGCCCTGGGCTACATCAGACCACCCTCAACCTCAGATGAACACTGTTTGTTCCTACGTATACATTCCCGTAAAAAAAAGTTTAGTTTACAAATGAAGCTTTTCAAAGAGATGAACCACAATAACTAATAACAAAAAATAACAAGTGTTGTCATATACTTATAGTGAACATTATGTAGATGTGGTTTCTTGGCTTCCAAGATATCGTCCTCTCCTAAACTCACTGTCCTCATGACAGAGTGGGATGATTGCATACCTAGTCATGAAATGCAGTTCGGTGAATGATGACACATTGTGAGTTGGGGTTAGGCTTACTACTGGCCTCCTGACACATGTCAAAGGAGGAGGCTCATTGAGCTATACCAGTGCAGGTTGACTGCAGGTGAATGAGATTCTGACCCCATAGAATTCTGTATGGCAAAGAAGGGATTAAGAAATAGATGCCTGTAATCCTTCCTCTCCTCTTCTCAAGGACACATTAAAGTCACAGAGACATAGGGTTGCAAGAGGAGCCCCTGGGCCTAGGAATCTAGTGGGCTCTCAGCTCTCTTCCCAAAGCAAAAAGATCTTGTCATACATTCAGTTTTCCACGAAAGCAGTTTTAGCGATTTTTAACCTCTCCTTCATATTCTTCAAAATGAAATTCTGCCAACATGCTAGTGATCTGCCTAGAATGGCTCAGAGGATGAGCTCCTAAGTGAATAAGCACCAGCATCCCCCAGACTCTTATCCTGTTCAGAGCTAGGTTATCCCTGACAACATCAGATGATGCTGTGTATTTAGGGGAGGTTTTATAAAATCACCTGGCATTTTATATTTCAGATACAAGCACCTAAATAGTCATCATATGAGAAAACTAGTGGGTGACTTTAGAAGTTAGAGATGTCTTTCCTTGAGATTACTTGGAGAGGTGTCACATGGGGCCTTTTATACGCTGACCTCTGACCTGACCCTGCTTATCCCTTCAGCGCCGCCCCCCCCTTCCCAGAGGCAGGAGAAAACTGCTCTGAACATTCTAGGACTGGATTTTTCTGCTACTTTTCTTTGGGAAATGAATTTGCCCCAGGTGAAAGGTATTCAAGGAGTAGTTGGAGAGACTGGCAGTCCCTTGTCAACTCACCAAACAGGCTCTGTAGCTCCTACTTCAGCTCAGTCAATTTCTCCTCTGTATATGGAGATTGGCCTTAAGGGGTTTGCCCTTGAGTTCAACTCTCCCTTGGCTTGGTTTGACTCCTCTGAAACAGGACAGAAAGCATTTATGAAGTTCATTTCTTGAACACAATAGTTGCCTACAGAGTAATGGATGGTATAGCTCTTCAGAAGAAATTCTAGCTAATTTCTATTAGGGCATGTTTGTATTTAAGAAATAAAGGGCTTCCAGCCGTGGAGATGAAAGTTCAATTATCAAGAAGAAATGAAGAAGTGTGTTTTCTTTACAGTTTTTCCTGATGTCTTTCAAGAATTCTGGGCTCTCCAAGAAAAATAGAGACAGAAAATTCTAGTATTTATCTTTGTAGATATATGTCTGTGCAAATGATGTGTGATATTTTCTGAGAGGTGTGAACGTGTGTACAGGACTAAAGTGTGAATTACCAATATGTACGTGTAATTGATGTATGTTCAATATCTGTGCCTGTGTGTGCTTGAGTGTGAATGTAATCTAAACAAGAAAGGGAGTTTGTAAATGTTTGGGTATTAAAGAGGTTAACCACATATACACTGAAACAGATGTTTTAATGGCTTCTGAGATATTTCAATAAGTCCCTTGATTTTCTTCATATAAAGGACAGACCCAAAGAAAAAGAAATGTGCTACTCTTTTTTTTCTTTTGATAAGAGAAAAATTAACAACAGAAAGTGCAAACTATCAGCCTTGGAATACATGATACAGTTTTTTTTTTAATTTTTTTTCAGGGCAATGATTGCTCCTAGTGTAGATGAGAAATGAAACCATCCTGGGAGGATGATTTCTTTCCTGTCTTTGTTGCTGATCTGTGGGCCTGGTCTAATTACTAAACGCTTAAGCCTGGGGTCTAGGGAATTGAGGAGAGAAATTCTTCTTTTAAGAGTAATTGGAGAGAAGCAGGGGAGGGGTGGCAGGGGAGGGACAGCACACGTGGATGATGTGAAAAACATAAGGGTTACTAAACAGGAGCTCAGCTCGGGTTTCCTCTGATGAGTTCCAAGGCCATAAATAAATAAATAAATGAAAGTATAATTTTGGGTGAGGCAGTGGCCAGCCTGTAGTTTTCTGCAGAATAGCTGGCAAAGGGGTTGGGCACGCTTAGAACATTCCTTCTGCAGCGAGTTGGGTAAAAGCAGCTGGTGCTTTAAAGTGCCCATACCTCTGCCTTCTCAGCCACTCCCCGCCTCTTTTCACATGCAGGAGCCAGAACCCATAGGCCACCATGTGACTGAAAGATAAGGTGCCCAGTGTGGAGGAGAGCTATGGGTGCTTGCAAAGCCTGCAGGCATTGGCTGCAGAGGACCCGCCTGCATCTGTATAGAAGGGATGAGTCCATTGTCTTCCTGGACTGGGGAGGGTGCAGGGTCATTAGGTAGAGGGTGATATGGTAGCTGCTAGCCTGAGGAAATGGCTCGCTTTTGTTTTCCCCCCAGTAGGAAATGGACCTGAATCCCATTAGATTCTGGGCAGTTCAACACAGCACAGTTGGAGCTCTTGAAGCTCTTGGAGGCTGGATGGCAAAAAGGCTACTTGTGTGGATTTGTGTCCTCACCACCATTGTGCAGTGTGCCCATCATTTATGCATTTAAAGCCTGTCAAGCTGGTACTCTGGAGCTGAGGTCTGGAAGACAATAATGCCAACAGACACGGGGAATGGCAAAGTGCACCTGTAGAGTTAAAAATGCATGACCCGTTCCCTCAAAGAGGGAACACAGGAGAAAGACCCCATCCTGGAGGGCGGCTGTTGAGCTGTAATACATAATTCACAGGCCCATGCTGCTCCACACAGATGGCGACATTAAATCGTGATTGATGCTCAGAGACTCACACAACTCAGGAAGGTCTCCAAGAGGCTCCTGAATATTTCCCTGGCTCTCATGCCTCTCTGTTCTAACTGCTGTGGTATTAAGCAAAAACCCCCATTCCCCAAGAACCCCACTCCCAAGTAGATGAGATTCTTCAAATGTCATCTCCCACTTCTGCCTTTGAAGGTCGACCCTGCCCTCCTGGCCCACTGAGCTATTTACCTCCAGCCAGGCACTGCAGGATAGAGGAGCCCAGAGGCAGCCCAAGCCTCCCGTAGCCACTGCCTGTCAAGCAGCTGCTCCTGGCTGGACAAAGCAGCAGCACACTCTGGTGGTGGTGACCAGGCAGGAAGGACAGTGGGCAAGAAAGCACAGAAAAATCACCAGCCTCCGTTTAAGCACAAAGCACCTTTGTAGGTAATTCTGAGATCAGAGCCAGTGAATTCTCCAATAGAGATTTTTTTCCCACTCACTCAATAATAAAACAATAAATCAGCTTTGTGGTATATGTGCAATTAAATGTTTTTTGGGGAGAAGGGTGTTATTTTTTTCTTTGTTAAAAAGGAAAAAAAAAGTAGAAGAAAGTGAAATCACCCTCCAGGGTCTGTTCTAGTCCAAAGCTGAAAGTGATTCCTTGTACCACATGTAATTGTTGCCAGGCTTGATTGTGGGTCGGCACCACAAAACCACAATTGTCAGCTCCTGGAGCCGGTCTGCTGGCTGCCTGAGTGAGGCCCGGCTAGAAGACAGGGGATAAATGAAGGATTTATGAGGAACAGATAGAGAATGAGAGGCTTAGAATGAGGAGAAATGGGCCCAAAAGGGCAGACAGGAAAAGGCAGGCATATTAAGTGTACAACCTTCTTGTTTTTAGAATTTCAGACCATATAATTGGAAATATTTATGACCATTTTCTGGAATATTTGTATGCCTATGCATGTGCATGCTTGTGTGTGTGTGTGTGTGTGTGTGTGTAGTTGGTAGATGAGGGGTGTATGTATGAGAGCTGAAATAATTTCTTCCACTAAATGAGTAAGTAGGTTAGCCTCCTGGATTGCCATAAAAGGTCTGTAAAATAGTTGTGATCCACCCGTGGGAGAGGAGGAGGCAGGGAAAGAAGGGGGGAAAGGCTGAACGTATCTCAAGTTCTTTGGACATTGCTTTCTCTTTCAGACCCACCCTGTGGAGGCCGACTGAATTCCAAAGATGCTGGCTACATCACATCCCCGGGGTACCCCCAGGACTATCCCTCCCACCAGAACTGCGAGTGGGTCGTCTATGCCCCAGAGCCCAATCAGAAGATCGTCCTCAACTTCAACCCTCACTTTGAAATCGAGAAACACGACTGCAAGTAAGCACTGCTCTGATGAATACACCTATGGCCATTCCCCTTGTTCCTCTTCCTCTTATCACCCAAGGGCCACAGAGGGAAACTTCCACCCCAATCGCTTTTGGGGGAAGTGAATGAATTTCCATGGGAGGCAGGGGGTGGCCTCCAAAACTCTACCCCTTGACTCTGAAATTGACCTTCCCTTGGAGATCTCTCCACTCCCACTGTTGCCTCCTGGAAAAAGCCCATGGCTTCCTTAATAAAGCAGGAGCCAGGCACTCAAGTAGAGATTCACAGTGCCTCCAGCCATGGAGGCCCAGCCTGTTAGTTTATAATGTCACAGCTGGTGCCTTATAGAAAGAGAGAGTAGACAATTCTGAGTCTGTAAGGGTAAGTCTGAGACTCAGATTGATTTCTGATATCTATTATGCTGCTCAGGTTAGAGAGTCTTAAAGCTGCTCTTATGGATTAATTTTAAACCAACATTATAACTGTTCTACAAATAATCATAATGCGTTAATTTCTTACAATGGCCCTGAGAGGCTTGTGCCCTCATGAGTTCCATTTTGCAGTGAGGCATAGAGAGGTTAAGTCAGTTACCCAAGGTGACTCGGTTGGTTTTATAACTGTAAGGTTGGTTTTATAACTGTGAGGTCTGCTCCTGGATGGCTAGCAGACTCCACCCTCCTCACAGCAAAGTCTCCACCCAGTACCTGCATTACCTAGGCAACTGGGACACCTGGTAGAGGTCACATCTGCATCCGCTGAGGTCACATCTGAATTTGATGTGGCCACACCTTTCTCCACCCATACCCTAGATAAAGCCTAGCCCAGGCCCAGATGCTCTGTCTCTGCTCTTTTCTAGCTTTTTCTCAGCTCTTTCCTTCTCTTCTCTTTCCCAGCTCTCTTCTCTTTCCTAGCTCTCTCTTTCCCACCTTTCCCAGACTCTCTCTCTGCTCTTTTCTAGCTCTTCTCTCTTTTCTAGCTCTCTCTCTTAGCTCTTTTCCCCAGCTCTCTCTCTTTCTCTCTCTTTCCCAGCTCTCTCTCTTTCCGAGGCCTTTCCCAGCTGTGTGGAGTGCCAACATGGCCTGGTGCCAGCCAGAACGATGAATAAACCTACCCCTTACCTGAATACCACGTGCGTGGTGCTGTTCTTACTCGGCTACCTCTTTTTAAAAACCTAACAATAACCAGGGCATGAAGTCAGCTACCTTAGAAAAGTAGGGTTTTGGTAATGCCAGATGGACATTTCGACATTTGCAAGTGCTTTAGAAACACTGTGTTTAAAACCAAAGTCCCTGCACGTTACAGTGGGGAAGCATGAACATTTCGATGTCAAGAGTGCAGACATGTGTGCAGTCCTCCGGAGCTCTATCTTAAATGCTTTCCCTGTTGAAAAAGAAAAAGAAAAGAAGGGGTGGGACGGGGGTTGGGGGGAGAGTTTTCTGTGAAGAAAAGAATGCACCAATGGTCAGTCCTGCTCCAAATGAGCACTCAGCCTGTCTAAGTGCTCAGATAAATGTTCATTGCTCCCACGTGATTAACAAATAGTCTGAGCATTCCTGTGACCAAACACTGTGAGTCCCAAATAATGATTAAGAGACAGGTATAAGGAAGCAGGCGACACTCCACTCCGGGCCTTCATTTCTGAGCGGGCCTCGGTCCAGACCCTCGCTTCCTCATGGCGGAAACAAGACCCCTCTTTAACTGTACCAGGCTGTGAAACCCAGTGAACTGATGTCATTATTGCCCTCCCAGGACTACTTTACAGCTACTGAATGCTGGGTTTTCCCCCCCCCCCCTCCTAACAAGAGGTAGTCTTTGTTGAAAACCAAAGGGTTTCCCATATGGATGCTGTGTGTGACCAGTAGTCATAAGATGAGTTTCTAAATCCCAGGGCCACACTGAGTGGGAGACATCTGTTTCCCTTTTCTCAGTTAAAGGTACACCCTAGACATATTGGCTCAGTCTCACTCAAGACTTCTGCTTCTCTAGACAGTGAACTTTCCCCAAAATTTTGGTTTTCAAAGCTTCTTTAGAAAGTGTGTGGGGTCTCTCTGGCTGGGTTGCAGGAGATGGACAGAAATAAAACACAATGTACAGGGTGCTAGGTCCCAGCTCAGAGAAATTTGACTAAGCACCTCTCCTGACTGAAGGCCAAATTGGGTTATGCTGATGCCAGTGAATCTCCAGAGGAAATTGCTAAGAGGTCCTTTTATGTTTATTCATAGTGACAGAGCGGAAAAAAAGGCCCAGCTTTTGGGAAGGAAGAACTCTTTGGGTGCTAGTAAGCACAGCTTCAAATGAGTTGGGAAGCAGGAAAATAGTCTTGCCTGGCTTTGGGCTCTAGGACATGCTTTCTTCTACCAGCCTCAGCCCCGAGAGGAGGGGTGGGGGGGATGGATGGGGGTGGTTTGGAAGCAGGGGTGGGGGTGTTGCAGAGCCTCTGTCAGCAAAGGGGACACAGACCTGGCCATTTCTGGGGCTGGAGGAGAGGAAGCAGGCATGTGGCAGGTTATCTCCTGGGCTCTCAACTTCACTAAAGTAGCTTCCTGTTTTTCTCTCTGCTCTTCATCCCAGCTTCTGGCTTCAACCTAAAAGGTCAAAGGTCAGAAGGAAAAGGGGGAGGGCAACTTTCTGGAATCTGTTTCTCCCAGTACCAAATTGTCAAAAAAGCTTCCCTGGGGTAAAGTCTTCTATTCAGCCTTCCCTACCCCCACCTCCACTTCTCTACTGCCATTTCTTTCTCCGATTTTTATATATAGAAGGACACCTCTGGTCTCTCTGTCTCTCACTCTTCAATGTTGTTGTTGTTTTAATATTTCCCCCTGCTCATTTGCATTCAGAATAAATAAGGTTCCCTCTCCCTATTGCCTTGCTTGACTTTATAACAAAAGGAACACTTAATCTAATTGAAACCCTGGAAATTCTTTCTGTCTTGCTCCTGCTTCTTTCCTCTCACTCTCTCTTCATTTTCTTTTCTATTTTTCATTTTGTGCCAGTGTTGGGGCTTGAACACAGGGTCTGGGTGTTGTGTCTTAGCTTTTTCCACTACCACTTGAGCCATACTTCCACTTCTGGCTTTTTGGTAATTAATGAGAGCTAAGAGTCTCAGGAACTTTCCTGCCCTGGCTGACTTTGAACCACAGTCCTCAGATCTCAGCCTCCTGAGTAGTTAGGATTACAGGTGCTAGCCATCAGTGCCCAGCCACATTTCATTTGTGTAACAGGGGAAAGGAAATCCACCAGGTTCCTCCTTTCATTTTGGAGATACGTTTCAAGTTGGAGTTGGCTTTCAAGGTCTCAACAGTGGACACTTCCCAAAAGAAAAATTCCTCAACTGTCCTTCTGATGGTCATGTTCAGCAAAAAGCCAAAATGTTCTGAAGCACCTTAGCAGGAAGGAAAAATGAGGAAGAAAAGCAAGAAAAAGCCTAGCTCAACATGTCTGTCCCAGTGTTTTCTCTTCTTCTTTCTGTGTGTAGGATTAACAGCAAAGATTGCCCACTAACCCGGCCCTGGGACCTGATATGAAGGATTATCCTGGGCGAAAGCTCCAAATCTCTTCGTTGTCTGTACTTTGAAGTCTCCATCCCAAGGGTCAGGCTGTTGCTGAGCAAACCCCAGACAGATCTTTCCCCTGACCACAGCTTGCTCATTTTGTTCCATTGAAGCTTTCTGTCTGCGAGGAAAATTTTACTCACTGACTAAGCTTCGCCTGAGTCAGAACAAACCCAAGGCCGTCATCTCTGGTGAACTACCCTGACTCCTCCCTCACCCTCCACCAGGAGCGCCCAACCCTGAATGTCTACCGGCTTTCCCAAAGCCTGCATAGCAGCTCCCAGGAGAGACCAAAGCCCACAGTGGCTTTGGGAGGTTCTGGTGCTGAGGGACAAAAGGACAGGGCTCCAGGCTATCTGGCCAAACAAAGAGAAGCCACTTACTTGGTCTCCCAAGAAGCAGAGAATACTGCTAGGCTAATAATGCCTAAGGAGACAGAGGCTTTTGGCTTGAGTCACAGCCAGTAGATTGGTTGGATTTTAGAATAACACACACACACACACACACACACACACACACACACACACACACACACGATTTTCCATTTGTAAAATTTAAAATGTTTAATAACACAAATATATCATCTGCAGTTTAGACTTGACTCCTCAATCAAGCCAAGCAAGCCCCCATTACAGAGCCTCAAACAACCAAAATCAAGAACCTGGGTCTTTTTCATAACTGGTCATTTCTACATCTGTATCTTAAAAAACATTTCCAGAAACTGCCAAAGCCACTAGAAAGACTCTAGTTTCTGCGCTCTTCAGCTCAAGGCAAGTGCTCTACTGCTTGAGCCACAGCGCCACTTCCGGTTTTCTAGTGGTTTATTGGAGAAGTAGAATCATCCTTCTAGTATTTGGGTTGTTAATTGGAGATAAGAATCTCATAGATTTTTCTTCCCCAGACTGGCTTCCAACCACGATCCTCAGATCTCAGCCTCCTAAGTAGCTAAGATTTACAAGTGTGAGCCACCAGCACCCAACTCAAAAGAATATTTCTTAAAGATTCACAAGGAAGTGAGGTCTACACTAGTGAGTTCATATGTTATGTTTCATATTTCATGTTATGAGTGCAATAGTGTCTTATTTATCTCAAAATGATCATTATCAAACAACAGTATTCCAATGAAGTGAAATACTAGAACATACTCCTTTAAAAGTTCCAAAAACTCCTTCTCAATACTAAGGATTAAACTCAGGGTTTCATGCTTGCTAGGTAAGCACTCTGTGATTTGAATTACACTCCCAACCATTTGCTCTCAGTTTGTTTTTCGAATAGGGTCTTACACTTTTGCCCAGGCCATGCTGGAACTATGATTCTCCTATCTCTGCATCCAGAGTAACTAGGTTTATAGTGTATACTACAATACCCAGCCAAGAGTTTGTTGTTGTTGTTTAAGTTTCTGGTAGGGAACATTATAAATTATGTGCTACTCTTCCACATCTTCTTAAGCAAAATCAACAC